TTATGGGTGGGTGCATACAATTGTGGGTGGGTACGGGTGGGTAGGGGTGAAAAAAAAAATTGGTTGGGTATGGTACAGGTGGTTAACAAAAGGTTTGGGTGCAGGTGGCAATGGGTAGTTTTGAAACAGAAAGTCCATGGGCAGTTATGGGCAGTTACAGTCTGAAGGGGTTCAGGTAGGGCAGGTACGGGTACACTTTTYTTTTTTTTTAGCAGGTAAGGATGGGTAAAGGTCCGGTAGGCCATCTATACAGTGGGTATGGGTGGTTAGTTTTCAAAGAGGGTATGGGTAGGCGAGGTACAGGTATTCAAAAAAATCCTAGTTGCCACCTCTGATGAGGGTTCATTCCAGTCACTACCCACAATATCTAGGACTTCCCAAGGACCGAAATAGTGAGGCATGAACTACCCGCTCTACTCCTCACACTAACTGCCACTGGGAATCGCTAGAGGGAACCCGCCTTATACCTATCCACCCTACCATGTGCGGGAATCCGGATTCCTGCCAAGACCAGCAAGGGGGGGCAGGTGAACTTATCTCGGCCAGTGAACCCAAACCCTGTGCTGCAGAGGGCCATGGGGAGTCGAACGGACGACGTGGGGAATTGAGCCCACGACCTCCTGAATGCCACTTATGTGCTCTGCTAACTGAGCCAGGCCGCTGGCCCGATAGCGTAGGAACTTGATTCCGACCGAGGTCGGATCTTTCTTGTGTGCCCACTTCTGGTGATCATTTTTATCAGGTAGTTCAATAGCCACATTTTTCACCCAAAAATTTCCAAAATTTCTGGTTTGTCCTTCTGTTCTGAGTTGTTTGCTTCAATTCGATGCAAATTCCCTTATCACTGTGATGGATGTGTTAGCAACATATATTTAAAAAATTAAAAAAGAAGGTTCTGAAAAGAATTATAATGCAAACCGAATGCATATGGTTGCCCCTTTTTTTTCCTTTCTTTTTTTTCATATGATCGCCCCTCATTGTTTTGTTATATGTAACTCCTCTACAATTCTCTGTCCGTACAGTTTGAGGAAATAATATTGCCTTAGTTTTCTCCTTTGAGTCCTTTGTCAAAAAAAATTAAAAAATGATAAAAATTTAAAAATCCCATTTTTTTAAAGGTTTTTTTTTTTGGTTTTGTTTTCTCTTCTGCATGCCCCTTCTTCGCTTCTTTCCCTTTCAGTCTCTTCTTTCCCTATACTTCACTGCTATTCCTCCCTCTCTCCTCTCCTCCTTGGTCACACCTTTGCTATAGGAATGGTATGTGACAAGAAAATGGATGTGCCTGTGTCAGGTACCTGTGAGAACACTCATGGACAGACATAAGTGCAGGTGCACGTACTTCTGACGGGTGTGTGATCACTTCCTGCTCAACCACACAAATGTGGTGAACCTTTCATTACAATTTGCCACGAAAGCATGCGAAAAATGAACAAACTTTCTTTGCAAACGGATTAAATAATTTAAATTATGTTTGGAATGAAGGATACAGTGTCTCGAAAACAGTGAATGATTTACAAGAAACACATGTGCAGCCACAAACCCCCACAGACATTGGCATTTGGAATTTACGCGTATGATGTATTTTAATATCTTTATCTCCTTCGTTGGCCAAGGTCAACATGGGACTCGTTTTACTCGGATGGGGGATTGAAATTTGAACACAAAGAACATCAGACACACACACAACCTGATGGGTCGGTGAAAGTCTATTGAAACAGTCTGGCAGAGTCGTTCTTTTGTTTGTGGAGTTGTGTATACCGAATATGACCACACACACTCGCATGGAGATTCTGTGAATGTATGCTTGGAGTTCTGGCCACAGTATCTGGGCGAGGAGGCTCAGAGAGTGTTTGCTGTGGGTGCCATTCCCATGGGCTGCTCTTTTGGAGCACATGGAAGAAACGGGGACTTCCAGGGTGTTTTAAGCAGTAGCCCTCCTGGTCTCGCTTGAAGATCTTGTGGTCTTTGGGTTTATGGTACGCCATACACTTCAGAGGCTAGACAGCAGATGGGACTGACAAGGGAATCCTCTCTAACAAAACACTTACGATAAGCCCCGACACGGTATTCCTCGACCACAAGCAAAACCCACCTCATCAGGAAAGGAATCCTTTGGGGTTTCTGGATAAGGTGTGACAAAACCTTTGAGGACCACCCCACCACACCAGAGAACCCAATTATCACAATAAAACACATAATAGAAACATAACTACACGTGGATTGGAAGAAAAGTTAGAAAACCCAAAATCAAATCCACAACACCCCCTACACAAGAGTAGAAAGTTAGAAACAATTCAAAAATTCACAACCTCAAAATTAGGATCTGGTCACCTAGTAGCAATCAAGAATGATCACCTAGTCCTCAAGAACTGGCTAATCCTTCCACCCTTAGATAACAATAACCCCACCAACCAATCCGCAACACCCCAGACCCAAACACAGACAATCCCGAACCAAACATCCAATACCCACCACATGCAAACCCTGCATTAAACCACCAGTACTTGGGCACTGCGCGCCGCGGCCGCCCAAATCTCGAAGCAGCGCGGGCTGTCGATTCGATTTATCGACGGCCCGCCAGCCGCGGAAATCGCGTAGCGTTAACGCTAAGGCGTCGCCCAAGTACTGGTGTTTTAATCACCTCACTCACCTCGAATGGCCCCCTCTCACATCGCTCCTGCCTCCACCCATCCAAAAAGAATCCCCCGACCCCCCCTTTCCCCCAAGGACCAGAATCCTAAACGTATAGGAAGCTCTAAAAGATTTCAATCTCCAGCCAGCTCGATCTCCCTCTCCAATAGTCAAGTCTTTATAGCACAGCCAACACTCCCTCTGATCACCAACTTCACACCGTACACATCCTACCTGGATCACCAACTTCATACACATCCTACCTGGATAGCCACAATCATCAACACTTCATCCACAGCCCTTACTTCTCGCCGGGCCCCCAATAAGAAAATGGGCACTAGGGCATACGGGTCTGAAAAAGGATACAGATGGAAGCCCAACTAGGTACAGCCACACTCTACACTACATCTGATTGACATCCTGCTGAGAAGAACTACAAGGACAAAACCCTCATAGAGGAGAAGCTTCCAGAATTTAAGGAAAGGTCAGTATAGGAGTTAGGGTTTACGGTATAAGCATTTTACACACTGCCCAGCATAGGATGTAAAGCCAGGAAGGAATAAATTTAGGCCCTTTAGGGACAGCATAGGATTAAATGTCAGGAAATTCCACTTCTAGGACCACTAGGGTTTAGGGTTTTAACAATTTAGCACTAGGTAGACAAGCCAACAGCTACAGTACCAATTGCGAACCCGACAGCCAAATAGCTGAGAGGAGCAAGCCTGACAATATCCTCATAGATAGATTACAAACAGCAAACAGATACAGCGAAAACTTTGATCAGTATCCTATTTCGAAAGCAGATCAAGTAGCCTAACTTAGGCAGGGGTGAGGGGTGGTACAACCTTCCCTAGGGAAGTAAGCAATGCCGTCCACTCAGGCCTCTCAACCGTAATGGGGAGGAGTGTTCGTGAGTTGCTATTGTAATCTCTTCTGACTTGCCGGAGGAACCGGACTGATGCTCCCCAGAATGGAAAGGAGCCAGAACCATAAGGTTCTTTTTTTTCCACCCCAACAAAACAGAACCTTAGGGTTCTGGCTCCTTTTCCACTCTAGGGAGCATCAGTCCGGTTCCTAATCCACCGGCAAGATTATTACAATAAGCACTCACACACGCTCCGCCCCCTTACGGTTGAGAGGCCCAAAGGACGTTATGGCTCCTTTTCCATTCTGGGGAGCATCAGTCCGGTTCCTAATTACTTCCCAAAGGAAGGATGTACCACCCTTCACCCCTGCCTAAGTTGGCCTGTTCTACTTTACTTCTGCCCTGGTTGCTAGTCTGATTACCCTGTCGGTTTGGTACTTGTAGCTCGCTCCTTGGGCCCCAACCAGCCTGTTACTCTCAGCTCCTTGACTGTCGGATTTTCTGTACTTGCTAGAACTGCTGGTTTGGCCCCCTGTCGTGGTCTTTGCTAAAACCCTAAGCCCTGTTCGACTTGGTTGCTACAGACTTTGCCATCCTTCTCCCTCTTTCAGGTGTTTGCTGTTACTCTTGCTGCAACCTTGAGATCCTAGCGATCCGAGGTCTGAATTTGCTCAATCTTAGTATCCTTTAATTCTCATCTGAACTGCCAGTATTGCTGCTTGCCATCCCCAATTCTTAACCCCTGAACCCTAGGGAGCCTTTTACTGCAGTCTTGCTGTTGTCTGTTAGTGTGTGAGGTTAAGGCTAACGCGGGAAGTTTGTCCTGATGATTTGCTGGTGCCCTGGACTCCTTCTGTTCCTGTCGCTGGTGCTGTCTGGGCCCCTTGTGTTTACTAAGTTGATGTCTTTTCTTTTTAGTTTTGGTTTATAGGATTTCCGACCTATCTAGCTGGTGCATGTTAATGTTTAGGGACTCCAGGGTACTATTTGTTGTGCATGCTTCTAGTTGGTTTCCTGGTGGTGTTTCTTCCCACAGCTTGAAAACTATACCCTGACCTTGGATGGAACGATCTTACCTCGGAGGTCGTTGGCTTTATCCTCTTCTTCTTCATTTTTCTCTTTAGCCCACGCCAGAGAACCCAATATTCCGTCTCTTACTCCCTACGCCTCCTGAGCATGCATCCTTTGCTTATCTACCATCTCTTGACATTTTTTCTTTCGTATGACCCATAAAGCTTCTTTCCAGAGTACATTGAAGAGGTTTGACTCTACTGAAGACCATTTCTCTGGGGTATTGGAGCCCAGTAGCAGCAGGGTGTGGCTACTCGTGAATGCTGTATCTGTTATAGCTTCCCATAGCCTTGATACTTTCTCTCACATGGGTTTTATTCTGGGGCCACGTAAAAGACCAGTGGTATAACAGTATAAGTCTTTCAATTGACTGGCGTCACAGTTGGCACAGAGTTCGTTTAGTGGGCTTCTATCCTCCTTTTTTCGTTGGATATTTAACCATTGGTATATTGATACTCCTTGATAGAGTATTAACCATTGTAGACTCCTGAATTTAGGTGGTCTTATGCTCACTACTATGTTCCAGGGTATTGAATTAAAGGTTTTGGGTTCTACTCCTAGATACTTCCACCAACGTTCTCTGTTATAATCAGGTCTGGATTTGTAGAGCGAGTCTTAGCTTATAACCTATAGCCTAGTCGGGTTGTGTATTGCACAGGATATTGAATTTGGAGTTGATTCTTGAGGATCCTTGTTTCATGTTCCATGCCCACTCTGCTGGGTCTACTTCTAGGTTCTCTAGAATCTCTAGTGTAACTTGAGGAAGGAAGATGGTCAAGTTTTCGTTTTCCACGACTCTCATTTTTCTTAGGTTGTCTTCTCTGACTGTTACCTTTGCTGATGAGTTTTTTTTATCCCACAGAAAGCTAGTGCGTGGTTTGGGGGGAACATATGGGTCATGACCGGCCAATCTGCTGTCGTCCATTGTCTGTCCTGATTTAGGATTGATAGCCATTCTTGAGGGATGATGGCTATTAGTTCCTGCAGGTTTCGGGACAAACGATGACACCCCTTGAGTTGTGTCCGGAGTTGTTTGTCTGTTTTCCAGTCCCTTGAGTTATCATCCCAGATGTGTTTGATTTGCCGTACGCCTTTTTCCAGCCATGCCCCCCATCTTGTGTCTTTCGTGGCTAGGGTCAGTGGGTTTCCATTTTCCTTTGTTATCCATGGGTTGCAGAATAGTGGTTGTCTGAGTATTTCCTCCTTGATTTGTGGTTTCCTGACTTTGGCTGGGAAGAACCGTAAGGTTCTGTTATTTGGGACAAAAAAAACAAAAACAAAAACTGACAACTTGACAAGGGAATTGGTTTTCAACTTTTCACAAAATGACCATAGTTTGACGGCACACAATCAAAGAGTGCTTGGGGCCGTTGCACCAGTCCACCATGAACTGGAAAAGAACTGATCCACTAAAGTACAAGGCAAAATGGAAAACATGTCCAGTAAGAGGGCTATGGGCTAGTTTCTAGCCCAGTTCACACAGAACCACGCTATTTTGTGTCTTGTTTGCAGTGAAACAGGCTCTCGATTGTTGAAAATGCAGGCAGGTCAATTGCTGGTACAAAAGCCAACAGAACGGGCTCTTTTCGTCTACAACGAGTTTCACAGTGTCTCTCTGAGGGTCTCTGAGGGTCTTTGAGGGTCTCTAAGGGTCTTACGAGTGTCTCCAAGTGTATCTTTTATGGTCCTGACTCCATGTCCATTCTGGGGAGTGTCTGCCAGGTTCCTTCTCCACTGGCAAGTTCTTCCACGCTTCCTTCCGAAGAAACCCTGACGAGCATCGATTGCTCCATTCCTTGGAGGATTGAGTGCCAGCTTGGCTTTCCTTCTCGAGTCCCTCTCACCTTCCTTCCTGCCTGTCAAAGTTGTAATCCACAGGGA